TATAGTAGGTAGACCAACCATAGTTTCTTAAGAGAAAGTGTTGGTAGATGAGATTTCGTCTATTGGGTTGTGAGTGTCAGTAGTTCTGATGGAATAAGATGAAGTAGAGGATTTGTTATTAGGGTTTCACTTAATTCCTGTGATTGGTGAGGTATTGGCTGTCGAGTAACGAGGTTTTCAGATTAGATTATACAGCTGAGTCAGGACTTCTGATGCTGCCTCAACCCAGTTAGAGAAATCAGAAACTGAGAATATCTCATCTGTAATGCCACATAACAATTCAACAACTTGCCATATATTTGAAATTGGAGATTGGTTATTGTCTGGTAAAGATAATTAATGTTATAATATAATTTATATATAGCAATATATACAAATATACTGTGTATAAATATTAATATTAATAAAGTCTGCTAAATAATATATATATATAATATTTATTTATATAAAATCTTCAATTAATAAGAATTTTATAAACATTTAATTATTATTTTTTTAAATCACAAATATAATATATAAAATATGATAAATAATATAAATTAATAAAATTTAAAAAACAAATATATATTATAAAAAAATTTAACAATATATAGTATATATAAATAAATATTTTTAAAAATAATAAAAATACTAAATATGATTTTTTCAAATCTAACTTTTAAACAATACATATATAATATTAATTTTAAGATTATATTAAAAAATTTTTGATCTGTTTTTAAAAATAATTATATATATATATAAATTTAACAAAAATATAAAAAAATAAAAAAATTTATAGATTAATAATACAGTGGATAGTATTTTTAAGTTTTTAAATATATATTTATAATTTAATATTTACAAAAAGCAAAAAGTATACTTATCTTTATTTTTATTTTTTATTTTTATAGTGAAACATATGCAATATGCGTAATCTTTATTGATATGTTTATATATTCAGACAGATACCAAAATATACTTATCTTTATATATAAGTTTACTAAATATTATATATACTACCAAATAATTTTTAATACATTTAAATTCAGTTAAACTATATAAAAATAAAACTTTTGATCTTTCTAATAATTATAGGTTGAAAACAGATCAAGGTATAAAAGTTTGTATAAGAAAGGATTTTTAATTTAACTTTGATAAAAGTTTATCAATTTTAATTCAAATTGATAATAGTAAACTTTATTATACAAATCAAAAAAGTTAATTTTAATTATTTTATCTAAAGTATCTTACTATTTCAATATCAAATTAGTATTGAATTTATTATAAGTTTAATATAGTGGATTTTTATTTCAATACTCAGTTCAAATTTTTAATTTTATTTTAATTTAAAACTTATAGATCTATTTTAATTATAGTATTTTACAAAACCTAAACATATAATTAAAAGGTAAAGTATTGGTTACAAATAGTAAAAATCTAAACAAAAATTACTAAATCAAATATATTTAATAAGTGACATATAAGATTAAATTAAAATTAATGATTTTAATTATTTGATTTAATTTGATTCTCAATTTTTAGGTTTATATTAAATTTAATATATGGGTTATAATTCATTATTATTTTTAATAATGTTTCAAACCTTATATGAGTTTATACAAGTTTGTTTAATTTTAATTTTTAGGATTATAATTAGAATTCAAGTAAAGATACCAGTTTTACAGATGGTAAAATAATAATACTATATTATATTAATAATATATTTTGAGAATTAATAATAACAGATAATTAAAATAATTAAAGTTAATTTTTATAATAATGCTTTATATGATTTTTTTCTTGGCAAATAGCTAAAAAATACAATTGAACCAATAGAAAAGGTAGGTTTAAACCAGAGATAGGATTTTCTTTCTCCTATATAAGTTTCACTTGGATATAGACACATTTTCAAGATATAAGCTGATTAGCCAAAATAGTTAGGTTAATTTAAGGAAAATCGATATTATTGGAAATAATAATCATTAGATAATATTAATTTACATCTAGAATAGCAATAGTCTAGTTTGTAAAGATGTTTAATATAATGATAAACTATTAATTATCAATAAAAACCTTATATTTAATGCCCTTAACCAATTAAAAAAATAAAAAAAAATAAAAAAAATCAACAAATTATATATTGAATTATTTATATTTAGCCAAAAGTAACATTATACCAAATAAATTGATTTTGACTAATGATAACAAGCTTATTTTAAATTGAAGCTATATATTTTTAAATAATAAAAAGTACTTGTATTATAAATTTAAATAAAATTTTTTTGTAAAAACACTCAATTTAAATTATAATTGCTATTTTTTAAAATAAATTTTTTTCAATTAAATAATATTGGTAAAAACAAAATACGAGTGTAATTATTAAAAATATCAAAATCGTAAATTAATTCATTTTTTAACAATAATTAGTTCAAATTTCTGTTAAAATAAAGCCTCGCATTTAATGCCTCTTAGCAATAATAATAATAAAGATTAGGTCAAGTTTCTATTAATTATATTTAGCTAGTAACTTTTAAAGGTTAAAATATTTATTGTAATATATATTATAGTTTCATTGATGGCAAATTTTACTGCTCTATATAAGGCTTCTAATAAATTAAAAAATAAATTTCATGGTCTGATTTCATATTTGAAAAAGAATTGTAATATACAGATCACCACCTTTGTATCCTCTATTCTATTATTCTTCTACGTGTAACGCTTGCCACCTATCCTCAAAAGCTTCACTTAATAATAATAGGCTATGCCATAAAAATGACAATTTATTTTACATGCGATCTTATCAATAAATTCAACTCAATCAATATTCAATAATAATTTCATCCTATTATAAACTGTGAAAGAAACAGCTACCATAGGTGTAACTTTCAAATAACCAATACTCAGTCCTACAAAAAAACCTTTGAATCCACTAGCATTCCAAATTGTCTTTGTTGTTTGCCAAATTCCAACAAAATTTGAGGGATCAAATGCTCCGTGAACTTGCATTCTACGTCGAATTACTTCGAATGGGTATGCAGCTGTTTGGGATACTGCACCTGCCACACCACCTACGCCCAATTCGACCCATGTTTTCAATGGTGCCCTTCTTTCCTGACCTTGACTATCTAATTTACCGGCAACTAATGAGGGTCGAGTAGTATGCTCGGGCCACATCTTTCGGGAAAATTCAGAAAGAATGTAATGCGTCCAGAACGATACTCCAGCATAAGGAATCATACCCATAATGGTAGGAAGCAATCCTCGATAGAAATTCATGAGTGGGAAATGGAAATAACGCCGATGTGACGCAGCGCTTTCGTGATATACTTGTCTGCATATTGACTTGAATCCGATGCGATTATCTCCACGAACCTCGTAAGCAAGCCTAACACGTATGAGTTCAAGCGGATACGTGAAAAGCACAGAGGTGACACCTTAATATAATGATTAATTTAGTAAGAAATGAGAAAAACGAAAAAAAAAATAAGTACAAAAATTAATCTTACCAGCTAAAGAACCAGACAATAAAATTCTCATAGATGTCTCATATTTCCGTGATGGTATTAATATCTGTCAAAAATTTACGTGTTAGAACTATAGAGGAAACCATTATATTCACAATTGATTCTTACATGACGAAATTGCTCATACGCAACAAATTTGATTGCTGCATAAGGAAAAATCCTGATTAAAGTCGCTGAATGACCTTGGAATAATCCTTTTGGACCATCATCCATATATATTCTTCGAGTAGCTTGAAATACGCCGGTCCAAGATCCTATCAGAAATGGTTTAAAGTTAAATTCCAACTGCTATAGTTTTGGGGGAGAAAATTGTCCTCTTAAATTGTTTTACACACCAAAGTTGTTAATATTTTATAACTCTGATTCTACCTGCATATTTTTGGAAATGCGGATTACTTGCTTGAAACAATATTTTAACCCTATCAAATGGAGCGATAACGGATTTTGCCTAAGGTGAATTTGAGTCTCGTTAGGAGAAGTTTGACAAGGAAAAACAGAGCTGTCAATGAATCATTTAAATACCACACAGCCTGCAGCACCACCCGCAATGAAAGAGCGTATTATGTAGTTAATGCTACGTTTATCATGCGAGCGGATCTTGACCGTATTCTCTTGGCTAGTGTGTGTTCGCTCCTGCGAAGTTAAGGAACTCGAATGGTAATGGTTATTTTTGATCATTTCGTAATCCTAAAAGTTGAAGTCTTTCATGAACAGACAATAAGGTTTTTTAATCGCGTGATAAATACTGTAATGCCGAGGAGTATACTAATATGATTGGATAATCATACCACTTCTTATGTCATATTAATTCCCAATCAATCAATTTTAAAAAGATCAAATCTATCTAAGTTATTGGAATACCAATAGCTGACCCGTGATACATCACACACGTAACTAGTTTTACGTACTCGTGACGCCACATTTTTTTGCTTTTTGCGGCGCGTTACACGTCACGTAAAGATAATATGTTAATACGTTTATTATAATGTAATATAAGACCGACTATTTATTTATGTGTAATATATATTTACATAAAATAAAATAAAATTTTTGATATTTCTATTCTATATATAAAAAAAAAAAGGTATTTCTAATATTTAATACCTTATATTAACTTTATAAACTATTTGATAAATGAATAAAGTATTGGTACCTTAATCATAATTGTTGAAACAAGATGTTTTTAAAAAATTTTAAATTGAACCATAAGATATTCAATTTAAAATATTAAAATTTACAAGTTTTCCTTAACCATTTTAAATGACTTGTATATAAATAAAAATCAAACCTTGTTAAAATAACAATTGTATTTTATTAAATATTATACAATAAAGAATTTGATTTTTTTAGTTTTAATAATATATTAACCTCTTATCAACAAAAAACATTTTTAAAATATTATTTAAACCATTATTAAATTTTATAGTTATATGATTAAATTCTTGTAACATTTTTTATTGACTTGATATTAAATTCCAATATATAGTATAGTACAAAAAAAACCAGAATCATATATTTACTTATAATTCAATAACTAATTAATTAAATTATATAAAACTTTATAAATAAG